CATAGTGGGCACAGCAGAAAGCCAAGAAGCCGATGCAGATTTGCACGACCGTTCAGCAAGTCATAAGATGTTCACGAACTTCCGGGGCATCCTTTGACTAACTAGCTTTTTAACTAAAACAGGCCGGTCAGCTGAGTCGAGTGTGCCTTTAGTATCCAGGAGTATGAAACTGGGTTATTTGTACGTATTGCGTTGTCCTTGCATCTGACGGAGTGTAAATATTTGGTTACCACAACTCACACTAGGGCGGAATCCCGCTTGCTGCTCTCGCGTTCCACGAGCCACCATAAAGCGACGAAGCACGATTGACGCCAACAGTCTCGTTATGACCGGGGTCAAGCTGGCCGCCCTGTGGATGCCGCATTCACTGCGAATCCCTTTTTTAAATTGGAACTATCACCGATTATCCTCAGTTGTCTGGGCCAAATGCAAACAAACAGACCCGATAGGTGCAGATTGAGGACCCACTGTGGGCCACCGTAAACCCGAGTCTGAATAGCTGCTCCGTTTCCTGGTGCGTTTAGAAGATCACAAAGCCAATGGACGTGCGACTCAGCTTATCTATTGAACACTGACGCTTACGGGCGTGTCTTGTGCAGTCGAAAGCGGGTTGCTTATAATGCTCACGTGGTGGGTTAAAACGATACTAAAAATAGAACTCACCTGTCAAGAACAATTGAAGAACAACCAATTAAATCTGTCCCAACGAAAAAGGTTATTTTACTGGCAGTTGTGTAGTCCAGTTACGTTTTGAGCTGGTTCTCCTGTTACACCCCATCTTTGAGCAATGTGGGCAGGAGGTCACGATGTTTGTTATTCGAAGTATTTGGCCCAACAGGCGAGGCGTCCTTTATTCCGTTTTGGTTATCCGTAACTGGTCGCACGGATCAACTAAAGTAATCTTCGGGCACTCCCGACATTCTGGACCTCTTCGTTCTTTAGATTTTCGAGTCCACCAGAAATCACGGTCAGCGCGCACGCTTACTTTCGTTTGACGTCTGATAATTCGTCTGGCATTGGAGCCAACGAGGATGTTTCTCCGTTATTTAATCAGTTCTAATGTTCGGTCTGATATGCAGTGCCTGAGTAGGCCTGGTAGCGCGTGCTTCAGGCAAAAATTCCCAGCACTGCAAAGAGGTGGAGATCTCATCTCAGTATGAATTCACATCTGATGGTGGAGCAGTTGGAAGAAAAAAGAAAAGCGTTCAGCTGTAGCACCTTTCCGGTGCCTAACTGCCATGCCACGCGAAGGAAGCACGAGGGCTGGGATACTTCCAGGTCGCCCAAGCCTAGACAGGCGAAGTCGAGTGGCGGAGGTCGGATTCGAACCACGGACCTTCCGGTCAGTAAATTGTGCTCTAACCACTTGGACCATCTCGCAGTTGGAAGAGACCCTAGAAGACGGAAACCGGCCCAGGCAACTGGGGTGAATCGATAGTGGTACCCATTTTCAAAAAGGGTACTCGCAGTGAGTGTAGCAACCACAGAGGTCAGTTTGACACCTGTTGTGACAAGGCTTCTAGCGTCATTGATTATTCGTCGTCTTATAGCAGCACGCGAAGTCTTCACTCGTGAGAATCAAGCGGGATTTCGACCGGGTACAGGCTGCGTTGACCACATCTTCACACTCCGTCAGGTGTTAGAGCAATGCCACATGTACAGACGACCCACAATCCTGGTATTCCTTGACTTCAAGGGTGCGTTCGATTCTGTTCATTGATCAGTTCTGTTAACTACACTTGCTCAACAGGGTATGCCCCAGAAGTTTGTAAATATAATCCGATCCCTATATTCACATACTTCTGGGCGGGTGAGGGTGTATGGTGAGCCCTCCAAAAGCTTCCTTACAAAAAGTGGTGTCAGACAAGGATGTCCACTCTCTCCATTCTTGTTCAACTTCGTCATCGATGAAATAATGGGGCGAACACTGGGTGGTTTTCAAAAACCCGGTGTTCAAATTGTTGCTGGCGAGAGCCTTGTCGACCTGGAGTACGCAGATGACATCGCCCTCATCTTTGAAGACCATAGCGAAGCACCAGCCCTGTTGAATAAACTGACCGCCATCATACCATCATTTGGCATGCGCCTTGCACCTTCAAAGTGCAAAGTCCTGCTTCAGAACGTGCCATATGCGAACATATCCCTTACAATTCAAGGAGAACCACTGGAGATTGTGGAAAACTTTACATACCTTGGTATTAGCTCTGACGGAAGTGTGCCTGACGAAGTCAGTGCGAGAATCTCAAAGGCTCGAATCCGAATC